TTTAATATGCTTGCAAAATTAGGGTCTTCCTAATTTTTTTTTGCTTGCATCACCGACCAACCTCCCTTGCCTCCTACTTGAATTCTTGAGAGAAATCTCTCTCTTTCAAAGGAGAAACATCAAGGACAGCAAAGGAACTTTTCCTACAACTTTTTCGACGCAACAAGATCGATGCATGACCAATCCTGATCTTGATTATGGGCTTGCCTACGACGAGCAAGGCTTCGTGCACATCCTTCAATTGACTTTCTTCGACGTCAATCCAAATATTGACAACACCGTCGAGCAATACGTGGAGCGTATTCTAGATACGCTCATGAAAGCCATAGAAGAGCAACTTGGTACAGTTCAGCGGAGGATTGCAACCCAACCGTGAAAAAGGTCTACCAATCTTCTCTCGTATTCTCATTGTCTAACTTGTTCTTGTGGTTTGATAGATTCATGAAGATCTTGTTCATCTATTTCTGCCAAGCCTAGTAATCGTAAGACTTGAATTTGATCTCTATGCTTCTAATCTCATTGTTAGTGTAGGGATTTTATTTGAAAGCTACTTAATTCGCATTTTATTGATATTCTATGTTATTTTGATAAATCAAGCAATTGGCAAGTGGTTTAGCCTAAGCGTAGGCACCCCTTTCTCGTTTTGTTTCATCATTTTAAATTGCTAATATCTTTAATCATACATTAAAAGCATCTTAGTCCTACATCACTTTCATATCTTTTTTAGTACTAAATCACCGTTATGTTTTAACCAGCATGACAGGAAGCATACTACATCAAAAATTTACCCACAGATTTGTCACATGAAACTCCTGATCATTGTAACTCTAAGGATCATGGCTAGCACCAAACTTCCCCATATTTCAATTGATGAATGGTAGAAGAAAAAATGATGATGCAAGTAGGCACAATTAATATGAGTAGGCTGGTAAGGCACATGAATATTTTCATTGGATCCAATTTTGCCTTATATTGATGAAGAGGTGTATATGATCATCATTGCTCGTTATGAATAAGCATCAGTAATATTTCAAATATTCCAAAATATCCTTTGGCCAATAAAATAAATAGGCCTTACAATCAATTCATTTAAAAACTTGGGTTTGATATTTCGAGCGTGAGCTGTGCTAAAATGGGAAACATCTACTTGCCAAAGCCATTGTGACAATGTACGAAAAAAGGAAGGATGGGAATTCCTTATTAGAAATCAAGGAAAAAAAAAAGCTAAGGAAAATAAAGCCACCACCTAGAGGTTTTACACAAGGTAACAAAAAATAACCTTGGGCTACTTGTCTCAACTTTATTCACAACCCCCATTTGCAATCCATATTTATACAAACTATTAGAAGGATAGAAAAACAAAAACAAAAGAAACTAACAATCAAAATATTAGCAGGACCCACGGAAGGTTAAACTGACCCCTACAGCTGGCTAAACAACAGCAGGTTCAGCCTTTGGCGAAATCGGATGCCGCAACAAGTGCTAGGCCGAGAGACTGATCCAGCATCATTCTCATGTGCTGGGGGAGGCTTCAACATCAGCAAAAGCCAATGAATCTTCATAATAGGGAGATAAATCTAAAATGTTGAAAGCATCAGACACACGGAAATCACCCAATAGTTCTAGTTCATAAGCATTATAAAAATGCATTACACAAATAAAAAGAGTCCATCGGCCTCAGGTTTGAGCTTGCCATGAGCACCGGAAGGAAAACTTACCTTGTGTAACTTTACCTAAACTAGATCCCCTTCTTTAAAAGTGAGTTGTCTCCCAAATTTATTAGCATGTTTTTGGTATTTAGCTATTTTCTTTTGAATTTGATGTTGCATTTGTTGATGGAGCTTGTGAATTTTCTGAATTCGAGTTTGAACATCAAAATTATATCAAAATTATATGCAGCCATTGCAATCGAAGGAACCAACTCTGGTGGAGTAAAAGGATTTCATACGTAAACTGGCTCAAAGGAGCTTCAATCGGTGGTCTAGTTCCAGGATCTGTTATAGGAAAATTCAACTTGGGCTAAGATTTTATCCCAATAGCAAATGTTTTTCCAAATAAAATGGCTCAACAGATTTGCCAAACTCCTATCAATAGTTTCTGTTTGATTTTGTGGGTGATCGGTGGAGCTAAATTGGAGTTTAGTACCAAGTTTTGCTGATAAGATTCTTAAAAAATGGCTAAGAAACTTAACATCCCAATCAGAAGTAATCTTTTGTGAAATATCATAAAGTCAAACTATCTCCTGGAATTAATGATTGGCAATATGAGACGCATCCAGAGTCTTCCTACATAGTACAAAATGTGTCATCTTCAATAGAATGGTCAATTCCAGCTATAATAGAAACTTGTTGCCTTTTCATGGGTGGTAGACCCACTACGGAGTCCAAACTGACATCAACCAAAGTTAATCGAGATTGGCAAAGGAAAATATAACTTAGTACTATGTTGTTTGTTCTTTGTTATTTGGCATGTTTGGCATCTTTTGATGTATCTATCCTCATCTCTAGTAAGTAGTGGCTAGTTGAAGTTTTACTGAATAATTGCAATCAGGGCTTTCACATAAGATAGCCTCACAAAAGGAGAAATGAGAAATGAGAAATGCATAGTTGTTTACCCAAGAAGAGGTAGTCGTCTAGCTTCTTTTATCAACTGACTTATGCCCATTTGATTTATTTCAACATATCGACACCAACTAGTCTAATCTCCTTAGCTAATTAGCTACAACCCATTTGCCTATTTTGACTAAACAACTCTTGTTTATCTAGTCTCCTTCAACTAACTAGCTCTAATCCATTAATATACCTTCACCCAACCAGCTCGTGCAAGTTCCACCTCTATCCAAATAACTCTCAATCACTTGGTCTCCTACATCCAACTAAATCTTGCTTGTCTAGGCTCCATAGTTACCTGTCAAGTTTTCCATCACATGACTAGCTCCTTATTCACTCTTCCCTTACCTAACTACTTCATATCTAGTCTCCTGTCATATGGTTCATTGTCGTTCAATCATCATCACCTAACTAGCTCCTGCTCATTTAAAACCTCTTTTCTCTAAAAATTCTTAAAGGTAACTAGGACCTAAAAACAAGTATGCCAAGTACCTCAGGCTTGTTGACTCTAATACGAGACAAAATGACATCACTAAACCTAGGCTAGTTAGTCAAACCACTTCAACTCACACATTATGTAAGCTTCACCCACAAGATCTTACCAAAACAACTATAGCACCGTATGGCTTGACATAGCCCCATATAGATCCAATGACACATTATGGTCCCAAATGACCTAAAGTGGACTTAGTTGGCCTACTAACCTCATTTGGGTCACAATTGATTCAATTATGATCTAACGGAACTAACTTTGAAATTGTTAGCTCAATATGGTTATAACTGATTCGAAACGACCATACATAACTTAACAAGGCCACAATTGGCTGGGTTTGGACCTAGTTACAGTATGCGCCTTGGTTGACTTGATCTAATGCAAATTAACTCAACTGATTTCAAGTTCAACTAGTACAACCCTAATAAGCTAAGGAAGGCCATAGATAACTAAACTTTGTCCTCTTTGATTCAACTTGATCATAACTAACCTAGCATAGTCTCGGTTGATCCAAAGCAAAGTCATGGATGACTAAGCATAAGTATTGTTAACTCAATATAATTTTGGGTTACCAAAATGTTCATGGCCAACTTGGAAAAGTTTGATTAATTTAGAATCTTTTGGATGGCCCATGATTGACCTAACTTGATCTCAATGATTTAAGCATAAGACCTAAAAGTCCCCAATTCAATTGCTACAAAATTCAAGCAAACACAATAAGGCCTACTAAGCATAAGAGATTTAAATAGCTCAATTAAGTCCAGTTGGTTCCCTAATTAAGCCTGATTTTCCTGTAATTGACTCAGTCCATTAATGGCTCAACTTTGTGACACTCTAAGCCATCCCAACACCTAAAATGCCTTTCATCCTCTCGTTCGCATCTCAAGCAAGCCTCAGGAAAGCCCTCCAACACCCCAAGGCTTCCAAATAATTCTCATAGCCAACTCATTCTCAGCCAACCACAAAACTCTCTCCATAGCTCATCCTAGTCGCAACAAATCCCTTCAAATTATTCAACGCACTTTCTCCACTAAATTTACAATAATTGAGAAGCATCACTCTCAATTATTCCCACTAAGTGGCTACATAAAGAAGTATAATCTCTAAATAATTATAATGAAATTTATTATCTATGCTAGGTAGGCCCTATTATATTTTCTCTTCTGAGTTTTTTAAGAAAAAAAAAATATTGTGAATATTTTTATTTGGTTGTTTAGGTGCTCAAGTTTGTTAAAGCTAAGACAGCCAAGCATTGATAATGATCACTTTGATATATCGTTGCATTGAGTCAATGAGAAAAGTTGCCAAATGATTGAGCTGCAATGTGATTTTGCAGAATTATTTTGAGAGAAAAAAACATAATAGTTTAGAAAAAAGAACTATCAGCATTTGGTATAAAAATACTTGAAGCCTGCCAAATAAAGAGAACAAATAGGGATTTCAAGAACCAATAAATGCATAAGTGCTTCAAGATGTGCACATCAAAATAACATAGCACGAGGCAATAGATAATAATTGACCGAATATAAACTCGCTCTCAAAAGAGATGAGAAGAAATAATGAGAATGCATAACGGATCTCAACTTAAGCATATTTCAATTTAATGTCTTACCCTACAAAATGACAAGTCATTTCAAAGAAAAACAGGTCAACACTATAATTGATTGACAATAATGGGTTCACTATAGTGGGTTTATAGTCATAATAAGGAAAAATCTAGGCATATACTGCTAAATGACAAAAAAACTCTATTAATTGAATTTTTTTACCAATGAAAACAGAAACCAATTCATGTTTTTCAAATAGACTATTAAAATGCTAAATGTTTTTTCAACGTTCAAAAGCAATGCCCAGTAAATTTACTATGAGAAATACATGAAACATCAATCAAAGAGTACCTGTGGCAGCATTGTTGGTATGCTTTCTTGATATTAAGTTTGGCACTATCCTACCAAGTCCAGTCGACAGTACCTTACAGCACAAAGTATAAGTTGATTAATTAATCTTATGACCAATGGATCTCAGCAATATCTCCATTACAGAAATAAAAATAAAAAAATAGCTTTATACCCAGTCGCCAATGCTAAAGAAAATGAAGGGCACGAGTTCAGGATGTAGTTTTGGTTTTATTTTGAAGACACGCTATAATTTAAATACACCATAACAAAGTAAAATGTCCTATACGCCTTTAGGCGCATTGGAGAACGTGAACGAACCAAAAAATAAGTACAATTCCTTGGGCAAGACGAAACAGCTTAATAAGCTAAGTGTGTTACCGTCATCACAATAAGAGCACTGAGTGCACCAGACAGAACTATTGACTTAGGATGCCGCATTGCCATGAGAGCTGCTATGATAAATGTCTCATCACCGATCTAGTAAAACAACAAACAAATCCCAAAAAAAAAGTGAAACTTCAATTACAAAAAATAACTAAACAGCAGAAACTCAATCTTTTACCCAACTAAATTCATTCTACACCCATTCATCAACAAACACTAAAACCTAAGCAAGCTGACCTCACTGACAAGGATCATGGACAGACTTGCAAAGAGGGCATCAAACAGTCCCACGCCATCTTGGTTTACTGCAAGGCCATCAACTGCACTCTCAGCATCTGTTCTGACTGCGTTCAGAAACATCTGCATTTGAAATCACAGATCTATAACAAAACTAGAATAAAAGTTCAAAATAGTAACGCAAATAATTAAATGAACAAACTGATCAATCATTCAAATCCTTAGAAAATTCAAAGCAAGAACAAATGCTAAATTCAAAAGACAAAATCTGGTTACTTTGGTACGGCGATCTAAGGACATCACCGACGCATTCTCGGCACTCCCCACTCTTGTTTCCTGAAAGCAACCAGAACAGGATGGATAAACCCCAATATCGAAAGACAGATGATACAATTAAGCCAATAAAGCAGTGAAGAATAAAAGAACAAGAAGCAAACCTGAGCTAAGGAGTACGCCGAGAGGAAAAGAAGTAATAGTATAACGAAAAGACCACGTGTAATCGCCAACTTATCCATGGTAAGGAACTTCTTACACCCTAGCCTCAGATCTGAACGACAGAAGATGACTGTAGACGGATCTCCTGTTACTACAAGGTATTATACTAAAGTGAGCAACAGATTAGACGTCCATAGAAGTAAAGTGAAGAGATCATCGCAAGAAAATCCTCCAGCGGTAGAGCGGAGTCGATTGAAAATAAAAAACAAGAAAGTCTCGCGCATCGAAGGACAACTAGGATATAAAGCCCAGACGCAAGGGCGCGTCCACGGAAGCAGGTGGAGGCCGCCTACCCCGCCGCGGTTTTCCCACTTCTATAAATGCTATAAAAGGGTGTTCGCCGGCATCGCGAAGGTAGAACATCTCACAGCTGTAGAATATTTATGCATAAATAATATCTGTAGTTCGAGACCACCCGTTCGTAACGTTCGTTCAATTTAGGAAGCTTGCAGGGTTCACTTAATGGAGATATTAAGAATTGTCCGAATTTATTACTAAATATTTAACAAATATTTATAATTGAGTATTTGTTATTCATTTGCTGAGTATTTATAATACTCAACAAATACGTAGCAATCCGAACAGCTCAAACTCCGCACGTAATAATTAGTCTAAGTATTCTTGATGGAGGCTCACTTAATGGATAATTTATTCTGTGTGGAGTGCGAACATAGCTCTGCCTCCAAACTCCAATAAAATCTTGACGTGTGGATTACACATGTGGATATTCATTTGTATTCTTTTTTTTTTTTCTTGTTATTTTCTTGTTAGCCCGACCAACCTGGGCGACGGGTTTTTGAGTAAACATTTGAATGGCAGCGCAGAATTTTCACTTTTCTGGAATTCACTTTTTTTCTTCACCATTTCTTTTCCAGCTTGCATCTTTAGCAATCGAGGTTCTCCTTCGCTCACTTTTCATCTATGCTAATGGATTCACCTTCAAAAAAGGTTAGTCTGTTATTTGCTTGTCATTTTATACGGTAGTCGTGAGAAGTCAAAGTGCATGCAACCATTATTTTTCAAAAATGTGTATTTACTGCGTATGAACAACGTTTTTAGTTGTTGTGTATTTTCTGTGTAGTTAAATAAATGACAGTTACTCTTCTTCCTTTTCAGCTTATGACAGTTACTCTTCTTCCTTTTCAGCTTTTTTTAGGATTTAGTGTTTACTTCGTTATAACTACGTTAATTGGTTCGTGATTATTGCGTGTTTACTGCATAGCTTACTTACTGCGTGTTTGTTGCCTGTTTAGGGTATAGGATTTTTGCTACGTAATTGCTGTGTATTTTTTGAGTACTTGCTACGTTCTTTTTTTAAGTCTTTTTAAGTTTATCCTAGTATTTGCTACGTACTTTTTTTTATTTGCTCTGTACTTATCACGTGTTTGCTTTTTGTTTAGGGTTTAGAATTTTTTATGTGTATTTGCTGCATTTTTTTGTATATGCTGCATATTTTTTGTTTATTTAATATTTATATTTCTATGATATTTCAGGTATATATTCAGCCTCTTACTATTTGATGCTATGTATCAACTTTTCAAACAATCTGCGACACCTTTATGTAGATTATAAACCCTAATGTGGAGGACATTTTAAGAAGCTTAAACATCTATAAATTTCTAAAATTCCCTTCTGTTGAGCAGAACGTACTATTGATCTATGAGCTCCTCATATTGTGGGATATTCCACAATAATTTATTTTTTAGGGGAAACCCACCAAGGAGTCTACGCGTTAATATAAAAAAATTAATGCAAGGTCCTTAAAGGGACCTCAAGCTCATTATTGCTCAAAAGAGCTACAAAAAAACTAAAAAAACCTACGAGCTCGAGGTCCCTACTAACAAAAGGTACAAGAAAACCTAGGAACATGCTACGATGCACAAGATTGGGCACCCAAAAAGATCAGAGATCCAAAAAATAGCAACCTGATCCAGCTTCCCTTCAAGATGTGATCAATATACTCACCTGCAAAAGAGGGATACTGCAAAACAAAATATAACACTAAAGGGATATGGCAAAAATAAAAGCATATAAGGAGATAACAACAGTTATAATTGCAAAGAATAGTCCAAAGATCCATCCAGATAGAATTCGAGGTCATATTTTGGACCAAGCCAGCAGCTGAAAATCCCAGCCAAACAGCCACAGAAATAATAGCCCAAATAAATATAGACCATAAAAACTTGATCACCAAACAGTAAGGAAACATACGAGCAACTATTCCCCAACTAGTAAGCATGAAGGCAATAGAAATCCACTAAGTAATCCCAGCAGCATAAGACCCCAGGATCAGATAATAGCCCCTAGGCAGTAAAACCATAGCTAAAGATATATAATAACCATAGGCCAATAACACTAAAAGGAAACTAGATCCTAACAAAACAACACAAGCAAAGACCCTCAACCAAAACAAAGAGGTTAGCCTGTTGAAAAATACCAACTCAGTCATGAAAATAGCAGCACCTCGAGAGCTGCAGCCAAACCCTCTAGCAACCAGAGAGATCACTGTAGGAAAAAACACCAAACAAAATGAAACCACTGAAACCCCTAAGAAACCGTGAAATGAACACCAAAGATACACATCTAAACAACCACAGTACCAAACTAAAAGCTCTAGCCAAAACAGCCAAGAGAAAAGCACCCCAACACAGATTGCACCCTCATAAGCACAGCAGGGGCAACCAAAAACCAAACCAAAAGGCACAGATAATAGCCCTCCAGGTCAAACCAAACAACTGGGATATGCAGATTTATTTGTAATTCCATGAAATTGTATGTAATTCCATGATGGTCTTTAATTTATTTACTACTTTAATGAAAAGATAAGAATATATGCAGATTTTCCCTACAGTAAATTTCAATTAATACCTCTAAAAATGGAGATTTACTAACAAATAAATTCTTTGTAGATTTTTTATGCCCTCCAGGGAGTTACCTAGGAGGAAACAGACAATTTGCTAGGCATCTAGAACTTCCAAACATATAGCTTTCCTCCTTCCCCTCAGCAAATACCCTCTCCAACAACCAAAAACTATTTAGCCACCTACACACCTCATTCTCCCCATCAAACCCCCTCTCTCTAATCTCCTCAACAAGCCCCCTCTCCAACTGCAGCTCAGTCGACTTAGGATGGTTTCCAAGAGAAATTGATGACATCACTCAATAATACATACAAAAAGTTCTTCCATGAACTTAAAGGTAGGCTGATCATGAGGTATGAGCATCTAGTAGTAAGATTAGAATCAATTGAATACAAGCTGATCCACCACATTACTCAATATAAATTTGATTGTGAGCAAACTCCTACTCCCTTCTCCTTATCATGCCAACAACCCATCCTAGCTGAAGAGATATTTGTTCTAGTCCAAATCAAGCAAGATGCCCAAATGAACCAATTCTTCTTATCATCAGCTAAGAGAAATTCATACTTGATATTAACCATCAAGTTGTGGATGAGCATGAAGAGGAATTGGTCAGATTTAGGAGGAGGGATCAAAAAAGTAGAGAACAGGGACCCCTACCCTAGCTGAACCAATTAATGTTGACAACATACAAATAATGCCTAACTTGCAAGTCCAATATTGGAATATAAGGGCACTGAGATGCTGAGTAAAGAGAAACAATTATTTTTTTATGGTTGTTTTAAAAAATTCACTAACAAGTAAGTTAATGGTGTAAAACTATATTATCAATGCGTATCTTCTACATAATTATTTTTTTTGTGTATCATCATTGTATTTGTTCCCTATTTTCTGTGTATCTATTGCATATTTATTGTATTTTTTCTATGTATTTCGTACATATTTATTATGAATTTACTTTGTTGCAGGTCTCAAAAAATATTCTCTTATGAGAATATCTCAATAAGTAGAGCCGACATTGATGAAATTATACTAGATAGATACATTGATAATAATAATTTAAATTCCTTCGCTCTATTATTAAAAGAGAAGAATAAAGTTAGCCATGATCAATACCATAACTTTTTAATATGTCTCGCCACTACATTGGGTTAGTATACACATGTTATTTATATTTTTTTAGCTATTGCATTTTTCATGTCCTTATAGACTTGTTGCAGGGATGTAAGCAATTTGACCCTGCTACAAATTTATATGTCAAACATATCACTAAAGGTGTTGTTAAGTCATATGATCTTCTACTTCAACCAGTCATCTACGGTGGTCACTAGACCCTTTTGGTTGGCATGCTGAAGTAAGAGAAGTAGAAATTATATGATTCCTTACCCAACCTCCAATATAAGAAAATCCTTCAAAAGATCATAAGTGAGAGAGCAAGTGTTAAAGTACATTTTTCATGTGTGACCTGTCCACTGATATTTGTTTGTTATATTGTTCAGATTAAAAACCAATATGATAACACAAAGGGAACTTCTAATAGTGATATAAGATGATGGAAGGTCATACGACAATGGAAGGTCCAGCCTATGCCAGGTGTGACAACTCAGAAAAATAGTATAGATTGTAGAATATTTATTTACAAATATATGGAATGATTTATTCTTGCAGGTAACAAAAACTAGATCAAAACAAAAAATTGGCAAGAATAAATTCCAAAATATAGGGTTGAATTCGTATGCACACTATTTTGTTCATCGATAAAATGAGCTTTTTTTATACATATGTTTTGGCGTATTCTTTTACTAACTTTTTTTTTTTTTTGCAAAATAGCAATTGTATAATATATAATGAATAAGCCGCATGTGTGTGATTTATACACAACAAGCACATACATAGAAAGCAGATACACAACATATATGCATCTGATATGCATCATATACACAGAAAATACATAGCTGATACGTAAAAACTATGAATTCGATATGTAACAGGTACGGACCAGATACACAACAAATATATAGAAGATACACAACCGATACACAATAAATACACAGCTGATACGTAACAAATACACAACAGATACAGAGTAAATATACAACAAATACATAAAAATATGCAGCAGATACGCAGATAATACGTAATCGATACACAGTTAATTGCAACAAATACACAACAGATATGTAATGTATTCAAAACATAGATAAACCAGTCTAGTTTTCTTTAGATCACAAATGATGAGAGTTTGAAATTCATTAAAATTTTGCTCTACATTCTTTTTTACTTCATGCCAAACATCAATATTTTCAAAACTCTGCCATTTAGTCCGAAAGTCATGAGATTTATAGTTGATAATCATGGTAGATATATGCTTCAATACAATTCCAATGGTGGGATACTAAACTATGTGATATGTATTATTTGAATAAATCAATAAAAATGAATTAGTTTTATCTCATTTAATTGATTTGATTTAGTCCGTGGAGTACTTGTTCAATTATTATCATATTAGCTATGAAAGTTCGTTAGGGATGTTAAGCCCTATAGAACTGGCCCAAGCTAACCAAGAGGGGGGGGTGAATTGGTA